AGCCAAAGCTGGATACCTCTCAACAGAGAGGAATTTCCCAAGCTTGCTAGTGGCAAGAAAACAAAAAAGAACCAAAGGGAAAAAGGTTTCAGAGGCCACAGCAAAGGCCCCCCAGTAGAGGATAATCTTTTCTTTGACGAGAAAGATATGACTCTCCTGTTGAGTGCTGTAATTTCTGCAGTAGCAACAGCCTTGGGGAGGACCAGTGAGGAGGCGGAGAAGGCAGTGCAGGTCGCCATGACGGCTATGACCCAAATTGTGGCAGCTCTGAAGGGAAGGAAGCTAGAAGCCTCCAAACCGAAAAAGAGCAGCACTCCCCTCCCTAAATCCTCGGATGGCAGGCTAGCTTCGGGAGAAGCATCACGTGAAACCCCAGCTAGTCTGTCAGGACAGGCTGAAACTGCAGCAAAAGCCCCCACTGCAGGCCGAGTCTGTACAGCCAAAGTCTGATCTCTTGACCCGAGGTGGCACTTCCAACCAAGGCTCTACACCTTTCGGTAGACCCTTAACCGGAGTGTCTCACTTAGAGAAAGTTGTGCAATCCTCAATCAACGAGGATCTATATTTATCAGATGCTACCAGCACTGGGGCATCTGAAGCTGAAGCAAGTGACTCTGAGTAACCATCATGGCACACAATCTAAGCATTCTGTAGTGGAACATCTGCAGCTATAAAAGCAAGAACTCCTTTCTCCAGTCAATAGTGCGAGCAAGGAGCATTGACGTCGTCATGCTCCAGGAGACACTAACTATGGGATCTGTGTGCTTCTCAGGATATCATGCCTTCACCACTTCAAACCTGGATGGTGCTAGAGGCTTGATGACCCTGGTAAAAGAAGCAATCCCGTGCTCCTTAATAGCCAACCCGCCGCACTGTGGAGATGGTGTTGAATCTCTTGCTGTTGAGATTCAGCTACCTGGGGGCCCTATAAAAATATATAATATTTATAGCAAACCACTGTGTGGGAGCTTAGATTTAAACCAGGTCTGTGCTACCGCAGCACAAGATCGAGTGATCATAGGGGGAGACTTCAATGCACACATAGCCATGCTGAATCCCCGCAAAAGGCCGAACGCGGCAGGCATTCACATAGCAGAAGTGCTTGACACGTTCCCTGAGATCGCTCTTCTCAACACCAAAGAACCAACGCACGTGAGGGGAGGGGTCCTAGACCTCACCTTTGCCACTGCAACAATGGTGGAGAGAATTCGGTGGTGTGTCGATGATACGGTTACCAGTGATCACTACGGCATAGTCACCACTCTAAACCAGGCAGCCTCACAAACCATCCCCAAAACTCGCCCATGGTCCAGAACTCACAAAGACGCCTGGTACTATAACGACGAGATCATAGAGGTCAACCACAGGGTTAATATATGCGGAAAAAATTTCCGACGGCAAAGATCTCCCGACAATCTGGCCCTGTTGAGGGAAGCTGTCGTGGATGCCAAGGAAACTGCCAACAGAGTAAGGCAGGAAAAATGGCTGGAATGGTGCCAGACTTTTGGGCACCAGACCAGCCTTACAGAGTTGTGGAAACGGGTCAGGCAAGCGACAAGCCGCGAAGCCCCAAAATGCACTCATCATGATCCACAATCAGAGGCTAACAGATTGGTGCTTGAGTTCTCAGCCAGAACCAGCACCAACAATCTGCCTCCAATGACGATAGAAAAACAACAAAACTTAAATCCAGGAAGACTTGCTCTCATAAGAGACAAGGCACTCGAAGCTGATGACACGGATGCCTTGTTCTCTCTTAGGGAACTAAGAAAATCATACAAAACCAGTTCTGGATCAACACCAGGATCTGATGGGATCTCCCACCCCATCATTTCGCATTTAGGCCATGCAGCAGAACTTGCATTCTTGCAGGTTATCAACAAATCCAGGCAAACCGCCACGGTGCCCCAGAACTGGAAACAAGCCACAATAGTTCCCATCCCAAAACCAAAGGAGCCTGGCAAGTACCGTCCCATCTCTCTTCTCAGCTGCCTGGGTAAAACAGCTGAGAAGATGGTACTCAACAGGCTCCGATGGAAGACGGGTTCCCCTCATGAACACCTGCACGGGTTCACAAGTGGTAAGAACACTGCTCACAGCATTTCCACACTCTTAAGCACAATCTGCACCTCGCCCGCCGTGGTTGTCTTCCTAGAACTGGAGAAGGCTTTTGAGTTGGCAAGCCCGCTTGCCATTCAAGAGACCCTAATCCACAAAGGAGTCAAAGGCAGACTCTTGGCCTGGATAGCTGACTATTTTAAAAATAGGTCAGCAAATGTCAGATCTCAAGGCCACCTCTCACAGCACATGCCACTTGAAAATGGAACTCCTCAGGGAGGGGTTCTTAGTCCAGTCCTGTTCAATACCCTCATGTCCATCATACTCGACATTCACCTGCCAGAGGGATGCAAGATCATCTCTTATGCAGATGACTTGGCAATCATAGCCTCTGGCAACCACTGCCTAACTAGGGCTCAGCGTTGTCTGAACCTGGTGTCTGAAGAGTGTTGTAGGACGGGTCTAAAAATATCGGCAGCAAAATCCAAAGCAATGGCTATGAGAACTAATGTCAGAAACAAAAAACTCACTGTACAGGGTATGGATCTGGAGTGGGTGAAGGACCATCTATACCTTGGTGTATGGTAGGACACACACTCACTTTCAAAAAGGAGATCCAATACCTGCTTGACAGAACCAAGGAAAGACTGTCAGTCATGAAAATCATGACAGGGAGACACATAGGAACAGGACACAAAGTACTAAGATCATTCTATGTACATGCTGTCCGTCCTATTATTGACTATGCATCTGTCGCCCTCATTGCTTCCAGTACACCATTAAAATAATTTAGCAAGCTGTTTTACGACATGTACATAATAAACCGTAACGTTATTGACACACAGGTAGAGAAGAAGCGGAGAGACTGTTTAGCCAATCAGAATGCAGAACACAATGCACAATGCAAATTCGTGAAGCAGCGAGAACGTGAAAGGTGAACCGCGTTACAGCGAGGGTTCACAGTACATAGATAGATACTTACATATATGTGTATGTACACACATACACACGCACACACACACACAACTAATGCATTTCCCTCCTGCCAAAACAATAGTATAAAATCGCTGCAGGATAAGACTGGCTACCCATATTCCTTACCGATTTTGAACACGAAAACTTTATGGTTAATTCTCCACACAAACAAGCCCCCCTCCCCACTCCTCCCACTCTAGGCACTGTTAGATAAGTAATCTCCTCGACTTGGTCACTCCTGCAAAAACAACTTTGTATTTCCCGCCTTAAAGTAATTATCTAACCCCACTCGCCGTGAGCGCATTTTCATCCCGTCCGCGATAGGAAAAGATGCTTGTAATGCAAAATCCTCGACCCAGCGATAAGTGGTATCTAATTCCAAATTTGCCAGCATCTTGCAATTGAAAACTTTTCGTAAAAAAAAACACTTGTCAATCGTGGTGACCTAGACCAATCACAAAAAAACACAAAATGGCGTCTCTCTTTCTGGCATTTCGTCGACTAGTTTAACAGATCGTCGACTTCGTAGGTTTGCAAATAAAATCCCAGTGATTTTATAAGAATGCTGAAATCTCTTAACCTGCCATCTAGTTCACTTTATCTAGTCGGTAAAATACAATAATACGGTAATTATCAGCCTGATAAGACGCTCTTGGAAAACATTTTCAGTGAAATGATATATTGAAGCGTGACTTGCATTTTTCGACTGACTGTTTCCGCGTCTCTCTCGGTTGTGAGATTTTAGATTTAGGCGGAGAAACTTATTGTTATCATTATTGCCATCATTGTCATTAATAGTAGTAGTTATAATAACTGTTGTATTAATATCCGCAGTAGTAGTATTCTCATTATTATCACCTTTGTATTCGTCATCATTCGTCATCATCATTATCATCATTACATGACAGATGTCATCCTCGCCTTCCTTGTCATCAACTTTATCGTAATTGCTATTGTCCTCATCATCTATTTCTTTGTCGTTGTAAGTTTCATCGCCGTTGTCATCATCATGGCATCAGTATTATAACAAATATTTTCCTTGACATCCACATTCACATGAGCATTATCACCGTCATCGCATGTCTCTTCATCATTCTGCTCCGTCTAATCATCAACATCATCATCATCATTTTCTTATAACTATCCCCTTCCTCCTTCATCCTCCTCCTCCTCTTCACTAATCTTTATCTTTATCGCTATTACTCTCTATCTATCTCCCTCTTTATCTCTCCTTCTCTCTATCTATCTATCAATCTCTCTCTCTTTCTATCTATTTCTTCCTTCTCTCTTATTTTCTCTCGTGTTATTCGTGTTTTCGCTCAGTCCTGCGCCTTTCATGGACAAATAGAGTGAGCGGAGAGAGAGACGGGGGTGAGGGAAGAGAGAGATAAAGAGAGAGAGAGAGAGAGATAGATAGATATAGATAGATAGATAGATAGATAGAGAGAGAGAGAGAGAGAGAGAGAGAGAGAGAGAGAGAGAGAGAGAGAGAGAGAGAGAGAGAGAGAGAGAGAGAGAGAGAGACTTGTCCTTAAAACCGTCTGGTATCACCTCTAAGTGTGATACTACATATATTTTTTTTATTATCATTATTTACTGAATAACGACCGGCAATGGCGGGCCTGAGCACCCTTAATCAACAGAATTTAAAAGTATGAATCTAGTATCTATATACGAGCGCAGGAAACCGTATATATTAAACAGAATAGAGAGAATGAGAGAGAAGAAAAACAGACATTTTTCATTAGTCAAAAGTATGAGATAATAGCAACTAGGCACACTATCATCATTATCATTATTGTTATTATTATGAGTGTGATTATTGCTGTTATCACCATCACTTTTGTGAAACAAAAAAAAAAATAAGGGTGCAATAACAGTGATTATAATGACAAAAAGATATGATATTGATGGTAATGATGGTGATAATGATAATGGTCTCATGAAAATAACCATCCTGATTATGGTGATAATAATATTGATAATAAATGTCAAGAATATTTTTTTATCACTTTATTAATTTCGCATTTTTATTTTTCGCTTAACAAATTAATTCGCACTTGTTTTAAGAGACATACAGTCTACTGAACACAAAAAACTGATAACATCCCAGCAACAACAAATATCGCCAACGCCTTGATATGTCTCCATCACTCATTTTTTCACACCTCTTTTCACAATTACAGAAACAAACAATCAAACAAACGAAAGATCTCTTGGCAGCAGCGGCATATCCCCCGCAACATAAGAATAAATATATACAAAAACCTAACGGATTCCTTCGCGATTCTTCTTGGGCGCTCACTCGTCCCCCTTCAGCAGGTCGTCTCGGCTCGCCTCCTGGGAATCGCCAGCGCCTCCCGAAGCCTCGGCCGCGCCTCCGATTCCTCACCAGCGGTGTCCGTGGGGCCTGCGGACGAAGGACTCGGGATGAGCGGAGAGCGAGGGAAGGGCGGATAGCGGAGGTTATAGGACATTATTTAAAGGAGAAAAAGAGGAGAAAGGAAAGTGAGTGAGAAAGAGGAGAGGAGGCAAGCGAGGATGACTGAAGACAGACAGAGAGCCAGGGAAATGTTTCCGAAGAGGGACGCGTCAGGGAAGGGCGGATGGGGAAGGTTACGTCAGTATCACCTAGAAGCACTCAGAGAGCGCATGCCTCCGCCAAGGCAATTGAGTCACGGATGCAATGACTTATTGATACTTGAAAAATTACAAAGAAAAAAGCAATCCAGATCCGGATCGCCACCAAAATTTAATGGCATCTATGTTTGGCTAAGCCACACCTCTGGATTTTTTTTTTAATCAAAATCCGTTCGTAACAAACGAACCACCACCACCAAACGACCTCCTTGGCGGAGATGGCAAGGGGCCTGATCAGGAGGGTCCCTGGAGGCGAGATCGCGGCCACTCACCTGTAGTATCCGGAGGAGGGTCGGTGGTAGGAGCCGTGGGAGCCGAAGGAGCCGTGGGAGCCGAAGGAGCCGTGAGAGCCGAAGGAGCCATGGGACGAGCCGTGGAAGCCGTGGGAAGAGCCGTGGTAAGACGGCCTGTAGCCTCCGTAGCCTGGCATCGCGAGGGCCACGGACGCGAGGGCGATCAGGGCCACGACGACCAGCTGGGGGAGCGGGAGCAGGGCATGAGGAGGGTACAAGGTGTGGACAGGGTACGGCGGTTTGGTACTGCTGGAAAGTCTCTCTCTCTCTCTCTCTCTCTCTCTCTCTCTCTCTCTCTCTCTCTGCTCTCATCTCTCTCTCTCTCATCTCTATCTCTCTCTCTCTCTCTCTCTCCTTACCTTCCATCATCGTGTTATATTCATCGTATCATCGTCTATGATAACTTACTACCACCTCTCCCTAAGTTCGGTATTGCTGTGTTGCCGTTCGTGTGTGTCGTTGTGTGTCGTTGTTGTGTGTGTTTCGTGGTCGTCTGTGTGTGTCGTTGTGTTCGTGTAGTGCTGTGGTTGTGGTGTGGTGTCTAGACGTGTGTGGTTCGTAATATTGTAATCTATGGTGTGTGTTGTGTATAAAGGATAAATATATATATACTATTTATATAACCCGTGAGTATATACTATACTTAATAAATTTCAGCTACCACATAGGATATATCCGTAATATATACAATATCATACATAATAGGCATAAATCATAGCAACATCTACCACCACATCTAGCCTCTATCAGATGCGCGCATCCTCATATTCCTCACACTAAGTAATCCGGTCGCTGGCTTCAGCACAATGTCGCTTAGGTGCTCCTCTTACATCACACCTATCAGACTCCATGTCTCAAACTATACACCGTAGACTATTCCATCGGTATATCCAACTTAAACGAACACCGATGCTAAAAGGAGTGAGAAGAAGATTGAGATATGTATTAGTACATGACACAGAACAATCTGTAATAGAACTAATCTAGGTATTAGAATAACACAAAAACAAGCAAGCGATATTGTATGATCCAGTAGCTGTACACGCAAATATGATCGATGTAAAACCGACAAATAAATTGAAATGCGTCAAGTTTAACCACTTTCTCCTATTTCTATACTTAACAAACCTGAGATATACAAGATGATTCTACAGACACACAGTGTTGACACACAGATACTGGAAATCAACCATACGACGCTCGACTGAAGTAGGAGATATGCGACGGTGGGACTGCTTGCTTGCAGATGAATCCAGCTGATCAACAAGTTATTTCGGTTGCAATATGGGGAACTAAACACTCGTCCAGCGTCTTTATATATACTACTCTTTGCCTATAGTACCCGTGTAAATCGTCCAGAAGCGACACGATACACCCAGAATCGCGATTGCTTGATTCGTAGTATATACATTGCCACACATCTATATTAGCCATAAATGATTATGCATGACCAGAACGACCTTGCTATTATTAATCACCACCTTAAATGTCGTCAGTCAGTGTTTTCTTAATAAAAGCTATCTACATCTCAACCACAAAAATGTATGGGATAACCAAAAGGCCAAGATGAAAAAATAAAAATAGGTGTGCTTGGCAACAACTCGTTGGATAGTCAGTATACATGTATTCGCAATTGTGTAGTGTATGAGGGCTATCGCCCGGTCAACTGCTTTCCTGGTGTGGTGCGGTATAATAGGAACCACTAAGTATATACTACCAGTAAGAATACCAAAACTAACAACAAAAAAAAGAGAAAAAAAACTCATCGGTGCAGGGGTTTGACATGTCTGGCTAGGACTTCAGAAACGGTACAGATGCTGGGGGGTGAATGTAAATATAGGATGAAGGGAGACGGTAGACGCAATGAAAGAACAAGACTGTCGACTTTATTATTTTTCTCTGTCTGTCTGTCATCTATTCTCACGTCAGTAAAAAATTACAAAATCTATATAATTATATAGCTAACTATTATAAAATAATTTATTATTACCTTGTATATTAGTTCAATTATCTATAGGTACTATTACTTATTAATAATAATTATATTTATATATGTCCTCTCTTACGATATCAGGTATGCTTATTACCCTTATAAGATGTATTCATCATCACTTCTGACTATATCTCTTTCTATATAAAAAGAGTCCCTTCTATCTATTTTTTTTTAATATATATATCTCGTGCTCGTCTCTGTGGGAATCAGTCACTATATCGTTCCTCCATATAGTATAACTTATTATATACTCTACCTAGTATATCGTTGGTATCTACTACCTCTTCATGTAGTCTTCATCGTACCTCTCTTACCTCTCCAACTCATATATGTTACTCACTCGCCTCACTCTAACTCATATGTATATCGTACCACATTATGGTCTCCGTCCTTCCACCTCTCCCCCTCCTCCGCCGGTGTGTACTATAATATGGTCTTATATACGTATGTCATGACCTTTCTAATTTATTATCTGTTATATTCATATACGGTTAGTAGTACTATTTCTATTCATAATCTTATTTATATCTTATATCCTCCTCTATATGTTCACTAAAACTCAAAAACGACAATGTATATATTAACTATATATATGGAATTTATACTTCTGTATGAACAAATTATAATAGTCGTTTACACTGTAATACTTATTCATATATTTAATTTTATATTTACGAGTCACTTTCATTTATCTAACGATTATGATACACAAGCTACGACACGCCATTAAGTACTAAGAATTATGACGCCCGCCCAGATCATCATATGATAGACTACTTATTTCTCATTTACCTCGCCGCAGTCGAAACTTAGTCACAGATCTTATCTATGACACAAGCATACTCATACCGACCTAACTCTGCCGTAACCAGCTGGTCGCTCCTCTGTATCACAATAACTCTCGATCTGTATAGGCATCTGGGCTTAAAAATACTCTCTAGTCAATCTTCGAATACATCGTACATAGTCACTAGCATTGTATACATATCTCTCTTACGTATTAGTTATTAGTTAGACATCTCCACCTACGCCAATAGTCTAAATGTACTCTTATCGTAGATCGTCATCACTAATTACTAGCTATAAAACTATAATCGTAGCCTTAGAAGCATGATACGCTCATATCTACCATATAGTCTAACCATACCTATCTCACGAAGAGCTATATTACTATCCCTCGTCTCTCTCTCTATCTATTATTTAATAGATTAATTAATATAATAGTATATATATAATATTATTACTTAAATAATAAAGAATAAGCATACTATTTTTAATTCATATAATATATATATATATATATACATAATTAATGTGTATGTATAATAACTAATATCATAATATAGTTGATCTGGGCATATAGTATATGTAGATATATAAGTTATCAATATATATATATGTGTATATATATAGTATATATATATTAATACTAATATTGATATCATTATATATAGGATATGTATATTATATGAATATATATTTTAATATAAGTATAATATTGATATCAATCTTTAATATATATGATTGTGTGTGTGTGTGTGTGTGTGTGTGGTGGTGTGTGGTGTGTCTGTGTGTCCCACTGTGTGTGTGTCGTGTGGCAGTGTGGTAGTGTGTGTGTGTGTGTTGTGTGTGTGTCGTGTGATGTGTGTTTTGATTGTAGTGTGATGTAGATGTGTGTGCTGTTTGTAGTCTGTGATTGTGTGTGTGTGATATGATACTATATATATATAAGTATATTAATTTTATTTAATAAATTATTATCTTTATATATATATATTATATCTATATTATATTGTAGTATAATTATTTGGGGGTGTGCGTGTATGCATGCATACACACCCACAACACAACACACACATATGATCATATATCTAGTATATATATATTATATATATTTATAGTATATAATATATATAATAATACTATGTAATGTATTACACATATACACATACATATCTGTAATATTAATACTAGATATATTGCTTAGTTGTAAATATATATTAATATTGTCTGTGGTCCTGTGTAGTTGCATACACACACACCCATAATATAAATATTACATATCATATATATACTATATATATTATATATATATATATATCATATTAACTAAATTCTTATATATATAATAATTGCACATGCGATGCTCTGTCATAATGACATCATTGGTAATCATAATAAGATGAGTATATAAGTATATTATAATAGCTAGTATATATATATATATATAATATTATATATATATATGTAGTATGTATAGTATATATAAATATTATATATATATAATATAACTATACTGTATGTAATATACATAATGTATTATTAAATGTACACTACAATATAAGTACATATATATTAATAATTAGGTTATCAATGTATATATATATATCATGTATGGATATTATGTTACATAATCTATATATTATAACAGATAAACTAATTTATTATGAATTATATGTACTTATATAGAAATTCACACCACCACACACACTACACACACACCACACACACACAACACACACAGCAACACACACACACATTATTATGAATATAACATATATATTATATATAATATATTATCATAATATAATATTATAGTATATTAATATATATACTAATTAAATTTATCATTATATATATATTATATACGTATATAATTATATATATTATTATATATATTACACAACACACACACCACACACACACACACACACAGCACACCACACGTTTCCACACACACACAACAAAGTAAATATCCACATACAAATTGTTATTTATGTTATTTAATTTATTATCATATGTAAAATATATTATTTCTAAAATATTACATTATATGATATAATATCATAATTTAAAATTTGTGTGTGTGGTAGTGTGTGTGTCGTGTGTTGTGGTGTGTGTGGTGTGTAGTGTGGTGTGTGGTGTGTGTGATGTGGTGTTGTGTGTAGTGTGGTTGTGTGTCACTGGTGTGTGTGTGCTGTGTCTGTGTGTGTGTGTGTGTGATAAAACTACTTACATAGTTTGATGTGTGTGTGTGTGTATATATTACTATTATATATTATACATCATCATATAATAATTATATATCTATATGTGTGTGGTGTGTGTGTGTGTGTGTGTGTTGTGTGTTGTGATGTGTGTGTTGTGTGTGTGTAGAGTGTGTGTGTGTTGGGTGGGTGTGTTGGTGGTGTAGTGTTAAGTGTGTATATATACATATATACAATATCAAATATATATATAGCTATAATATATCATTATATATTAATATGAATATATATATTATATATACATATATATATATTGTATATATAAATATTATATTATTAAATATATAGATAAATATTATTATATATATTTTATTCATTTATATATGTAT